AGTTATAGTCCATAGATACAACAAATTATTCTCTGTATTCCAGATTATCTGTGTTCCAAAATTTAAATTAGAATTAGTATTACCAACACATATTGATTTATTAAACCGTTAATACGTAAACATATGCAACATATTATGTCGTGTATGTTAATAACATGACATAATTCGATTACTGTTGTAAGCGTGCGAACAAAGCCGATTGACGTGTTTACGCGCGTATGACCTGCAACAGAAAACTGACTTGGAGTCAGTTTCTATTTGTGTCTGTAAAAATCTATACTTAAGATTATAAAGCAAATGTCTATCTCTCTGTTTGTATACTTTTCATAGCTAAACGGCTAAATAGATCTTAATAAAATTTAACAATAAAATAGATTGTATCACAAGGACGAACATCGGCTATCTCTTATCTCAAATATTAATCTGGTACGAGTTGAATTAGGGAATGAAAGTTTCTACTGACGAAGTCGCAAGTAACAAGTAGTATATAATATCGCATACTTAATACAATAAGTCAAAAATTACTACTTTTTACAACTAGTCCTTTAAATTAAAACATTCGAGTCCAATATTCCGTAATGTATTATTTAGTACCAATTTTAGAGTTTGAATTTTGAATGCATTATTGTTTTAAGGCCGCGATATATTACCTACCTTTGCAGTTAATTTAACTATCAATAGTTTTTATGTCAAATATTACCTATATATATATATATATATATATATATATACAAGTATTATAAACAAGTATTTATTAATGTATAAAATTTTCAATTTTCACCAAAACAATTTTTAATAAATTCGAAATAGTCTTCGAATAGTCAACTCATTCAGATATATTTATTTATACTCTTTATTGCACCAATTACAGAACTAAAAAAACACAATTATAATATACTATACCTTACCATAAACACACATTCCCTTACATTTTCTTACTATACTTTGTATTTTCTGTATCTAATTCTCATATCAATAAACGTTACTGTGGACATTTTGTAGCAACAACAATCTAAAACCAGATTCAACCATTTAGGAAGTTAAAGCCATCTCCATTTCCTTATACGAGCACGTCATCCGAAGCCCCGTTAGGCTAATTGCAGACTAACAGACACTGATGAGACGGATGTACGTCCCAGCTGTCTCCAACTGTCCCGCAGTCCCGGATTGTCCCGAGTTGTCCGGACGATGGGACGTTGGTGGAATACGCAACCCGATAATGCACTTTAGGAAGATGGAAACCGTGATAGAAATTGTATGGAAATTGCACATCAAACAAGGAAAGAAGGCTCCTGAATAGGTACATATTATTTAGAATAATTTATGCACATGAGCGTTTTGTATTTCAAATAACGCATTTCATTTGGATATTCGAATATTAATTTCATTTTTATTATATTTCGAGAACAAGGTAATGGTTCATAGCTGTACCCGTTCATAGCTATTACCGTGACATCGTCTGTTTTTGCTTTTGGATTTAAATGATATCCAATGTTCTTTCTAATAAATTATATCCTCCATTCAATCAAACCATTTAAATTTACACGGTTATAAATATAAAAAATCCTTCTTCATCAGTATACGTATATTAAAACATGCACCAATTATCCATTTTTGGCACTTAAATTGATGTCAAATCAATTGCCTGGACATCAGACATGCTTTATTGTCTGAAACATTCATTCTTATTAGAACAAAGATTTTAATCTCAATACAGATTCAAACTCAATAAAGGTCCAATTGAAAACAGAAGAAAACCTATAAAGCAACAAACTGCAAAAGGATGTAAAAGTGGGACCACCTTTAGAATACAAGAAATAACAATCGCGTTAGTACTACCGGGACATCAAATAGACATAAGCACCTCTTAAGGCCTGGCCGAGTTGCGAAGTCAGATCGGCGATCTAGTTTAATTACCATCCATCACGCAGTGTCCCAGACATGTATCGTTCGATCTTGCATCTCGCCCTTAACTACCTACCGAATACGGAGCAATTGATGCGACTAATAAAAGTCGCTTTCCAGTTTACGCTAAACGAAGCACTTGATTGAAAGCCAGTCTTTTAATTGTATTCATATGTATACATATATATGTTATATTTATATCACCAGAAAAGTATTATGTTTCCATAGTATAAAAGTTCCATAGGCTACGGTAACAATTTACTATCAGATAAGCCGTATGATTGTTTGCCACCATCGTATTAAAAAAAATCTGTACAATAATGATACTAAAATTCAACAAACTTTCGCTTCTTTTATAGTCATTGACGAATTCGAAGGTAAATTAAAACGGATTGAAGCTTAATTAAATTTAGCCTGAAGATAGATTGTAGCACAAGAACGGATATCATTTTATGTTATTTATATCGGTAAAATCAGACGAAATAGAAGAAAACCATTAGTTGCATGGTGTTAGTTATATAAATGCAGCCTTATATTTAAAAAAATGTTGGAGCATAATTTATAATAATCTAAAAATTATGAGTTTTAATTAAATTCAAATGTAATCGATTATATTACAAGAAAAATAATTATAAGATATAAAAGGTGACATTAAACCTATAACAGCATGTTTACGGAAAATCTGCAAGTGATACTAATGCATCTCATTAGCAAAAGGAAATTAGTACTTATTCTACACATTATGGAAACCTGCATGCGAATTAGTGTTTTTGTGACAGTAACGGCAGCAATCAGCAAATTCTATCTGGCTACTCCATATAGACTTATAGTTGTGATCTAATATTTAAATACAATGCGATTGCTGCGATGCTTAAAAAATTTAACTAATTACTTCAGTATTTTTGTCAAATTCTTTATTTTAGAGAACTTATTGAAGCTCATTCCACTGAAGAAATAAAAGTTTGCGGATAAAAATTACTGAGATAGACAAATTTAAAAATATTAAAGTTGTATCTATTTATCATATTCTATGTAATAATCATAAAAGCAAAATTTATAATTGGAGTATATAAGAATAAATAAGTATTCTAATTGGAAAATAGAATTGACAAATTTTCTAATTGCAAAATATGAAAAATATCTTTTTTTTAAATTGTAGTGTATAAAATGCGTTAATTCTGTTACACGTCTAGTCTAATAATAGCTTACTTAATGAGATGTAAATGAGCGAAGAAATAGCCGACTCAGTTCGCGTTATAATAACGCGTAACGACCTACAAGTCCGGATTAAGAAGCCCTTTGACTTAAACCTGACCATTGCACGAAATGACCGACCGAGACGACAGACTATCTATGCAATATAGACTTTAAAGAATAAATGTAAAGGTTGACTTTAAAATGTTTAATTAGAGCTGGTAGGTGCCATGTGTGGCCATGTTAACAGCACAATAGTGTGGCTATTTTGAAACTAATTGGCAGAAAGGGTTGCGAATTAACGTCAGGGCCGTGTAGCGACCGGCTTTGTGCTTCCGACGCAACGCCTGATAAAATTAAATACTTTATGGTTTTTAATTACATAAATCATATATAATATGTGATTGAAAGATTTATAGTAATAGACAATTTACGTGGATTGGATTATTAATTTTATTACGAATGGAAAATTCATAATTAGGTGTGTATAATTTGTTTCTGTTTGGTAAAAGAGTCAGGTACTTTGACGATGTACTAAGGTTATTTTTGATGATTCCCAATTTACGAAATTTTCTAACAATGGCTAAATTCTATTTTTATACAATATTTATCACGAATTGAAAAAGACGATATTATTTATTCCTTTAAACTTTACCGTAAGTTTCATAGACTACTTTCCAATCTTACCACATTTGGTCTTCATTCCACATTTAGACGTGTCTACATTAGCATGTTGGTTGGAACATGACATGCAGCTCATTAGACATACACGACCAAGTAATCATATCTATTGTTTACAAATTAACACTGATAGAAAAGAAAGCTTTGCTTTGACATTTTTCAGATTGCTAATCCCTTGTGGATTATGTTTCAAAATAGTCATTCAAATTGCTTGCTGGACTTTTCTCTATTGTCCAGTTATTAGAACTTTTCCCGATTCTTTTTATTATCATTAGACGTGCATAATGATGGTGATAGTAGGCTTAGTAATACATGGCTATAGTTACCTATGAACACTTACAAATGTATAGGAGGCTGCTAGTACTCGTAATACATCATACCTAATGTAATTCAATTAGGTGCTCATTCTGTTATATTACTTAAGATGAAACTTATAAATAATGAAATATCTATTAAAGGTATAATGTAGTTGTTTACAAACATTGGGCATTTTAAAATAATTGTAATCTGCAATGTCAACCGGCTTCATTATTCTTTCAGTTTTGTGCTGAGTTCTGCGTTGAAACGATACTCTCAGACCAATCCCGATATAAAACTCGCGACGGCGACTCGAAACCTATGTATTATGCATTCGTGAATATAAGGCGCATAAAACAGCGTCCGAATCAATTACAGAGGCGGGTCGGGCTCGTTAGAAACGCATCACGCATGTACAATCGCCTTGCGGTAAGGTAAACAGCATTTATCTGGTGCTAAGCTATGCTGGAACAATGGAATACCCAATTTGGGAACCATGGTTCGAACTTCCCTAAGATCAAACGAGATTATATATTACGTTGAAATGGGCAGGGATAATAACAGACGTTCTTTGAGCTATCAACGATACAGTTTACCGTTTCGAAGTCGTAACATTTTCGAGTTGCAACTGCAAGGACAAAGTTGAAAATACGTAGTGAAAGAGCCTGAAGGTCAGTTCACGGTTCTAGCGCGACCCTCGCTCTAAGTGGATTAACCCCTTTACAGTCTTGAGCGTAGTACAATTTGCATCTTTTATACTTTATTGATATTCACAAATGTTTACATAAGCAAATTGTACATATTCACCATATTTTCTACTAATAAGAAATATAACAGTTAGATTATCAATTTTAGATCCCTTCTTAAAATTTAAGGAGTAGAAGTATTTACTTTTTATTAAACTATTTTATTCTTTGTTACAGGTGGTAATCCCAACGCACTGCAACCACAGCCACAAGGTCTCATAGTAGAGACAGGCAATGGCGCCAGTGTCTTACAACTACCAGCAACAACTCTGGAACAAATTCGGCACATCGCTGCTGACCCTGGCGCTTCAACTCTACGCTTACCACCGCCAGCTACTGAACCGCCTGTTGGCGCCCGCGAGCTCGACTTCGATTTATGCTACGTCTGCAAGCACTGTAAAGTAGCATTCCCTTCACCGACCCCGCTACAGGCGCATCAGGCCCGCTCCTGCTATGCGGGCCGGGAGGCAGCACGAGGCGTCATACGTGTCGTCCAACCGGCGCTCGAGTGCCGTTCATGTCCTGGCGAACGATTTCGCACAGCCGTCGAATTTCGTCGCCACGCGGACACGGAGGCTCACCTCCGAAACGCCGTGCCACCACCACCTATTTCGACGCAGCCAGAACCTCTCACTCACGAGATGGAAGACGTCGTCAACCAAATAACGTTGCTGGCCGCTCGCGCTGCGCAGGACGCTGCTTCACCAAAGGACCCGAACGCCAACTTCTGTGCACCCGGGCCCCGCTTTCCACCACCGGGCGAGCTACCCCTCGCCAGCGCCGGCCACTAATCCTACACAGACGAAATGTATAGTTACTACTATTAGAGCCCCTCGCTCTCTCCGTTGTCCGACAACGCAGCAGTTCACTATTAGCTCTTAATGCTTCTTTTCGTTGATGAATGTAGCCGCAGAAGCGGTACTTTCCTAGTTATACATTTAAAGCTTGTAGTCGTTTAAGTATAGGTTAATTGGGAGTCGACCGTTGTTGTCCCGTTTTTATAATAATCTCGTAGAAGCCGCGGCGCCCGCGCCCTGCGCTAGTTCCTGAAGGTATTCGTAGTCGAGTCCGTGTTCCTGCCGGTCGGCTCCCGCGCCGCGCGCCGCACACTGGGAGGCGGCGGCGGCGAGCGCCGGCGCGGCCGCGCTGCCTCGCCGCACTTCATATCATACGTTAGACAGGTTTTATTATATACGTTTATCGTTGCGGTGACACGTGGTCAGCGGCTGCGCCGACGCCGCGCAATTCTTTACCATCAACTCCCAGGAAAGCAAGTTCCTATCTTTATGGCATATAATATTATCGATATTGATAATTACGATTTAATTATTGTTTAAAGCTATGTAATACATACATATAATCGTTCTAATTTTAGGCATAGATACGTTCTCGTAAGAAGTTCCTGACGCATCGTAAATGTATGAAGATATATATAGTGATATACGTATATGATTTTTTTAAACATGAAGCGAAGTTAGGTACGTATGTTAGGCAGTAGAGCGGTCGTCTTCTCTAGCGGGTTCCGTCGCTCAGATCTGAACAGCGTCAAAACGAACCGAACAGAAAAGCGCAACGTGCTCGTACACTACCTGACTTATCGTTCGCTGGCACTGAATGACGATGTCGTCGTTCTACAAAGTTATGTACGCCTAGTACTGTAGTTTCGCCGCGATCACCAGTTGTATTAGCCGGTGCGTGGGCGTACGGCGAGCGGAGTTACCGCACGGTACTCCACACAGCATCGCCCGTGGAGATGCGACGACACCGCGTAGGCTTATTGGTAACAGTTAATTATAATAATTATTATCGTAGCAAACTTTTCCAAAACGAACGAACTCGAAACTCGGGCTGCGCGCCAGCGCTCAGCCTACCTCGCATACAAGTGAGTTTATTTTGGAACTAAGTGTGATTCTTGAATTTTTATTGATATTGTAATGATTATTAGTAGTGGCGTAAGTGAGTCCAAAGGCATGGAGGTACATGCAGCGCGGCGGCAGCGCGGCGTGCGCCCGACACGACGCGACGCGACTCTGCGTTTGCCCCTCTCGCATGTATATTCATTACTTTATCGTGTGCGTGGAGTCCCTTATATTTTCGATGGCACAGATCACGTTATTTATAATATTTTACATATTTACATTTTATCTAGCGGAGTGTACTACAATATTTTATCTACGAGTGAATCCTACTACAAAATTGAGTTTGTTTTTTGTAAAATGCTGTTTTATTCCACCGGTTACCGGCGGTCCTTGTTAAATCTATATGTGTGCAATGAACCGACACTTGAGCAGACTGCGTCTTCTCTAATATCTCTGGAGGTTTCTTACATTCAATACATATTCTGTCGATATTTCCATACTGAAAATTATATTAGTCAAATATATGTAGTACGAGAAAATTGACACCCGTGTCAGCGAAAAGTGAAGTGCAATATTATTTATGCCTGAACGGATGTTTTGTATCTTGTTATACTTTAAAAGATCTCATAACATTTAGGAATATATGTTAAATAAATGCATTATCAAATAATCAACAACAATTGACGAAGGAAAGGATAATAGACGCAGTGTGCTCAAGTGTTAATTAAGACGCGAAGGCGCGCGTTCTGTATGTACGACACAATTAATTTTTGACTGCGTTAATAAAGTTTAATGACTGCATAGCTCCTGAGGCGTAATGTTTGTTGACTAGAATGTTATGTTCTCTGAACTCCATCGCGTAACGTTGATCGGACGATATTAGCGTTCTAGAAGATATTATTTTTGGTTTGTAATCGGGAGTATATGTACGTTTGAGTTAGATTAGGTGAACAAGTCGGTAGTGCGATGTTGTATCTCCGCGGTCCACAGATCGCGGAATGAATCATGGTTCCTATGTATATTTCAATATTATCGCATCTAGAGTTTCACTATACTTTCCGAATACAAATTTTAATATTTAAGATTAATTCGGATTAGTCTGTTGTATCTGCTACTAGAGGGTGCCGCCACGGCCATGTTGTTTGTTTGTTCGTAAGCTATGTTTCCTTTATTTCTCTTATTTGTATTAATTACTGTACCTTTATATTATAATTATGTTGTTCTAAAAAGATTTGTATACAATTTCTTTAGCCGTAGCTCTAAGTGTGTTGGTTACAAATCATTTTACAATCCTAAAGGTAGTACTCACGTCTATCATAGTTCCTAATAACTGTATTGTAATAAAAAAAACTTATTTTAAAATTCTTTATTAGTAAAATGTACCGGTTCCTATATAAGTAACGTGTTATACAAATTCATAATGGTTTCTATTGGATATGAATATTTTTGGTAGTTTTCATTTTATTGTATTATGAAATTTGACTTTCAATATGTCATTACAAGTAAAAGATTCAAAAACATTTTTAATATCTATAGAATATGTTGTAATAATATTTTTATTTGCCCCTCGTAATGTCTTGTATTTTACATTTGGTAGCGTACAATTATATTTTACGTTCTCGAGCATGACGTGTGCGTAGCCAGCGCTACGCGCTACGCGCCTACGAACTAACACCCGTAGCCAACAACAGATTACGAATACATTGTCAAGTGTAAATGGTAAAAATAAACTCAAAGTTAGTTTATCAGACACTGGACTTTTATTTTTATTTCCTTTGTATTACAGATAAATTATTTATGTATATTTAATACCAATTATAATAAGTATGAATATGGAGAATGGTAATCGTTGCCTATAGACGTAAACAATACCTGCTCTAAAAAATTTAGGTATACAGTACCTATCTTTATACATTGCTATTTCTGGACTAAGATGTTATATATATATATATACATACAACCTGGAAATCATAATATACTCACAAATTCTTACTATTCTAAAAAAAATCAACATTGTCCGATCTATAAATAAAATCAAGAACATAATCACATACTTAGATAAACAATATCAGGGATGGGAACAAGTAAAATATTTTTATAAACCTCAAAAGAAAAACAGTAGTTATCAGTATAGAATAATAGATAACAATGTTTTTTACCTAATTGATATGGCAAACAAGTAAACAGTCCACCTGATGGTAAGTGGTAACCATTGCCTATATACATGAATAGCAACACGGATATCACGTGATCGTGTGTGGTTTGTGATATCATTCATGCGGGGTATTATATTCTGAAGGACCAAGATATCACCCCTTATATATTGTAATTTCATTACCTTGACTGGATACTCAACCTTATGATCCTTTACACAAACACAGGATACATAGCAAGTTGTTTGGCGACTCAAATAGCCGAGTCTACGGTGCCTATGCAGACAACAATTTAGAAATTCTATCAAGGTAGGTAGTGTATATAACAATATGTAGATATTTATACTTATACTCCAGGAATCCATTTAGTGTCTGTGCAAACGATGGCTTCGTGCCAATGTTATGGTATATGAAAGCGTAAATTTTCATAATCATTTAATGTAGGTAAAAAGTAAGTATTCATAGCCTATATAATCTACTATATATATATAAATAGCTGTGTCCAGCAGGTACCTGGTAGTTCGTTTATTATGCGACAAAAATGTATGGTTTGCCTACTACAATATTGGTTTGTAATACATAATAATATGTGGCAATTCTTTTGTGGACTCCCGCGGTACAAATTCGCATAGTGCGGGGTCTAAAATATAGTCAACTTTGTGTTACTCAAAATAAATAAATAACAAAACATAATATAAACCATCATTAAAAGAATTGAGAACAAATTGTTTTGTATAATATTATTATAGATGGATGAATGTTTGTTACACAAAAACTACTGAACGGATTTTGATTAAACAAAAATCTTTTATTCAAAAAGATAATATCTTTTTGAATAAAAGATTTTTTATTTTGATTTATAAATTGGACCAAATATAAACATAATATATAATATAAATGTCAAATAAATGTGATGCAGATCAAGTTACGCAGGTAAATTAGTATCTCATACATTACCTATACGAAACAAGTTTTTACAAAGTCTACAGTTTATAAACATTGGTTACAGTCTCACCAATGTTAACTGTCAAGCAGCTTTCTTTGTTTGATGAGTTTTGGTTGAAAAGTAGTAAAGCTGTGAAGTTACTTTAAAAAATTTAATTCGACTTTCAGTCGTCAAATTTGTTCAAGGTTTCAGCTAAGATAAAATAAATAATAAAAACCTGGACATTTGGCACAACATAATATAGTTTATAACCATGAGTAAGTATATATAATTCCTGTCCAGGGACACAGTTCACTACTGACGCTTGTCAGGACAGGCGTAAGTGGTGAACTCTAACAGGGAGACCGGAATAGATCTTCCTTTCGTAATGCTGCAAGAGTTGTTTCCATAACACCTGACAATATCCCAATCGCTGTAATAAAAAAGTACATCCTGCATCTTATATACTATACAAGTGATAGTACATTTTTATATATTTTTTCGTACATTTTTATATAGGTATAATAACATAAGCATACAAAAAGTCTTATAAATATTGTGCGGTGATTGAAACCGTTTAAAACAAGATAGTATAGTAAAGCAAGTATCAAGAAGGTCATCAGTTTATGTTTTATGTAATGTTAACACACTGGCGGCTCACCAGAGAGTAAGTAGCAACGAGTTTTCTATATATTTGCAGTGCCGACCACAGATCATCATTTGATACTCATTATGCCTTTTAGGTGTTAGGAACCTCTATACCATATTATGAAATAGCAGAGAAATTACAGGGGGAGTTCTTCAATCAAAACACTGCTTACAAAGTTGGCTTGTTGGCTAAAGCGTACTATATAAAACAATACAGTCTGAATGAAAACTACTTCCTTTTGACAGTTAGTTGAGGCTGCATAAGAATAGCCAATGGAATAAAAATATATTTTAAGTCAAACTATAATAGATACATACATATAATAGATGTATACCTATATCTCTACCTATCTCTATTTTAGATCTTTGTCTCTCTTACACCTATGGAAATAGGTACGTAAGTACATAGTAGATAATTAATTGCAATAAGTATCAAAACTAGAGTATTGTCAGGAGGGCTAACATCAGCTGCTATGTAAATTTTATGACAA